TCAGGCCTCACCCTGGACCTACCAAATCAGAAAATGCTAGATGGAGTCCTGTAACCTGTGCCTGCCAGGTGATTCTGATACATGCTCAACTGAGAACCTACCATTGTGCCATAAGAAAAAATGGTTCCCAGCCAGCAATAAAGATAAATTTTTTAAAAAAGGGACATCTGGGGGGTGGCAGTGGGGGTGATAAGGACACATATGTAATACCTTAATTAAAAAAAGGTACATCTGTAATATTTTCAACAATAAAGATAAATTTAAAAATATTGTTACCAGCCAGGCATTGACTAGGCACTCAAATATTTACCTTCTTAACCCTTACAATAACTCTACCAAGTAGGTTTTATTACCTCACTTTAGAGAGAAGAGAAAGAAGACTTAGAAAAGTAAGTCATCTAAGGTCATAGAGCTGGAAGAAGTGGAATGAGATTTGAACCCGAGCTTGCCTAATGCCAAAATTTGTACTTTTCATTATATGGTACTGCCTTCCCACAGGCCTCCAAACAGACCCTTAAAGTCTTGCCCTGGTGGTCAAAGATATATATTTCTCCCAAAGGGCCAGATTCTTCCCCTCCAGGGGCTCAGTAAAGCTGGTCTTTGTTTTTCTCACTTGTCCACACAGTGAGCAGCTGTCATCACCCAGTTCTGTCTGACGAGGGTCCCTCCACAGGTGTGATACCAGTTACCTCTGGACAGGTACTGGAGGGAAATCTAGACAGGGAGGAAAGAAAGGAAGAATAAGTGGTGTTTCTTAAAAGCCTTTGCCCCAAATTACGTTACCCCTGAAATTCCTGCCACCCCTCAAAACATTCTCCAACTTTCTGGGCTAGAGATGGCAAATAGGTTTCATTTGATCTGTCAATTGCTATTGATTGATTGTACTGTCTACCTGGTGCGGTAGCGAGAAAGGGGGTGTAGATGATCTGGGATCAGCAGGAAAGAGTGCACCATAGTTTGGCGATGTTTGCTGTGTACAAGGATGGGTGTGGGGAGGTAAAGGCATACACACAGAGTGTATTTGCCCCCCTCCCCAGCTCTAGGTTGTTGCAAAGGGCCAAGAACTCATTTCCTTCTACCTCCATTTCTTCTTGGGAAGGAAATGTAGCTATGGATTTGCTCCATCACCTAAGACCCACAAGCTTAGGTCTCAGAGCCTCCCCTCCAATGTTTTCAAGATATACCCTGTCCCCCTACTTCAGGGAATATTTAGAAATACCATTGGAATGTCCATTTTTATCAGTTCATGTCTTCTTCAGCACCTCATATAACACAATAACTTCTGAAAATTGGGGCTCAAACTTTTAAAAAAATATATATTCTTTTATGGATTTCAGAGAGGAAGGGAGAGGGAGAGAAAGATAGAAACATCAATGATGAGAGAGTATTATTGATGGGCTCCCTCCTGCAGGTCCCCTTCTGGGGATCAAGCCCGAAACCTGGGCATGTGCCCTTGACCGGAATCAAACCCAGGACCTCCCAATCCGCAGTCCAATGCTCTATCCACTGAGCCAAACCAGCCAGACGGGGCTCAAACTTTTGTAAACTGATTTAATTCTAATTGTAATTATTCTTCTCAACTTGCCAATTTTTACATTTGAATTGCTTAAATCAGAGCCTAGCTGTCCTGTTATGAAAGTGGAAACTCTTGAAATAGCCAAATAAACAACATACTCTACTTGGGGGCGGGAGTGCACTTCAAAGTATGACACGTACTGTGTGAAGGTATATGTGTGTGTGTGTGTGTGTGTGTGTGTGTGTGTGTGTGTGTGTGTCAAGGTATATGGAGTCTGAAATGTGGGTCTGGCACACAGTCTTGTTAATGTGGCACAAATGGTGTTGCTGGGAGTGTAAATGTGATTCGTGTTTAGGTGTGTGCCTGGGAGAGTGAGTGTGGTTGGTATTTAAATTCGCTCCTTCAAGCCTTTTGTACTTAGTAAAACCACCTAAGCCTGGTCCCATTCATCTTTAAAATCTAGAATACAGGCAGTTGGAGAGCTTCCTGTTGATAAGGACATACACAAACACCTGTGTATCAGTGCCCAGGCAACTCTTATTTTATTGGAAGTCTGGGGCTGGGAAGAAACACCCACCTGAGAGGGCCAGGAATTCTTCCGGGCCTCAACCCCTCCAACTACCCGGGCGTTGGTTTCCGGAAAGTCCTGGGTGCTGTGTCCTTTGTGGGGCAGAAGAAAAGTGAGTGAGGACTAAGCATGGGGTCAGCCCGGGGTGGGGATGGGGAATAGCAGTTGTGCTTTGTCTGCAAAGTCACAGTTTCTCCCTAGCAAATGAGCCCCGCTCCCCGCCCCCCCCCCCCCACACTGTGAGTTCCCTGAGCCCCTTTCTAAAGCAGGGGAGTCTGAGTGCCTTCTGCTTTCCCTGGGTGTCCTCAGAACCCTGGCCTGCTGTGAAGGACCCACCTCAAATCACCAGGCTGGGCCTCAGAGGCAACTTTTCTCAACCTTCCTCAGGCCATCCCTTGGCCTGCCGGGAACCCCCTCATTCCTGACTACTGCCACCCCCCCCCCCCCAACACACAGTGCTTGGGCAGGATTCTCCAGGGGCATGGACAGCAGTGCTCTCCCAGCCAGCACCTGCTGAGGATGTCTTCTTGTCAGTGGGGGTGGGAGGGAAGCCCAGGCCCCCGGAAGAGGCTTCTCTGCTTCATGAGGGGCCTGCACAAGAGTGGCCCCACACTTTTCTATCATGGGCTCCAAGAGAGTAAAATTTTTGCTAGACTTACAGGCAGAGTGTCCTACCCGCTCTGGAGTAGAGAGCAGGTCTGGGCTTAGGGATAGCTTTCTGACCCTCCTGCTCAAATCCCCTCCTAGAACTCAGGCCACATGACCCACTCACCATAAAGGACCAGGGTGGCAAAGATGAGGAAGCTCAGCATGTTGCCAGTGGAGTAGACCACAAGTGGCCCCTTACCATGACCCAAGCCTTTTTATACTCCTCTTATCAGCAGCTTTGCTAACCTTCCTGCCAGTTGGCAGGGCTGCGGGTAGAAGGCAGGGAAAATCACAGGTGACATGGAAATACAAATGAAAAGATTTCTTTTCAAGTAAACTAATTTATCTGTTATTCAAAGACAGAACAAGGTCAGGGCTAAATTAATTATCTACTTCTAGTTGAAAAGCATCCAACAAAGTCTTTTCCAGAAGTAAGATGGAGAACCTGGACTGGTTTTCCCTTCGGGGCGCTCCCGTAGTAGCACTGGGGAGCTACTGCCTCACTGTCCTCAGTGGCACTACAAGCACAGAGACCTATCCCATGCACTAGGAGGTGGGGGCAAAAGAGGATTGGAGGAGGGAAGAGTGACTAGCAAGAGGAAGAAAGGGTCAGCAACATCTCCGAGTGCACAGAGGGAGATGGGACGTGTGCATATGTCTGTATACCTGCAGACATAGGTGTAAATGCAGGGAGGCAAAAGCAAAGTAGGTGCATTAGAGAACTCTGTGGAAGAGGGTACTAGGAAACAGGTTTGGGGAGACTCAGAGAGCTGAAAAGAGAGCTCCCAGAGGACAATGTGGGGGAGTTAGAAGAGGGAGCCCTTGGGATAGTGAGATAATTTGAGGGTTATAAGGGTAGAGGCCAGGGGGAGCAGAGTGGAGGAGTGGGCATGTCCTGCAGGAGGCGAAAGGCTCTGCCCATCAGTCAGTAGAAGAGGAAAGAGGGAGATGCAGTATGCCTTGAGGTAGGCAGAGGACTTTGGGTTGGGAGGCCCTAGAGCAGAGGACTATGGGTGTAGTGGTTTTTTAGGCAGAGGGGAGCCGGGAAGCTTGGAAGTCTAGAGGGAAGCAGCAAAGTCACCAGGTCCCTAGAACTGCAGAATTCAACTTTTCATGTCTGCAGATACAGGAGAGGCCTAGAAAAGCTGTTAGAAGGAGTTCTATCCAAACAGTCACCTTTTTAGGTCCTTGAGCTAGTCAGGGGAATGTAAACTATGATGCTCAGGGAACCGGGAGGGCTCCCTCTCCAGTCTAACCCCCAGCATTCTAACAGAATAGAGCTTGGGGAGGAGGGCTGAGCTGGGCTGGGGACCAGGGTCTCTTTTGTCATTCTCCTCCCACCTCCTACCTCCTTTGGAGAGTAAGGAGACAGCTCTAGCCTTCGGATGAGGAGTTTAAGAGGAGGCTTTAGGGCCTCCTAAAAGTTACCCCTCAACATCACATACTCTAAAGCAGTGGTTCTCAACCTTCTGGCCCTTTAAATACAGTTCCTCATGTTGTGACCCAACCATAAAATTATTTTCGTTGCTACTTCATAACTGTAATGTTGCTACTGTTATGAATCGTAATGTAAATATCTGATATGCAGGATGGTCTTAGGCGACCCCTGTGAAAGGGTCGTTCGACCGCCAAAGGGGTCACGACCCACAGGTTAAGAACCGCTGCTCTAAAGTGTACCTTTAAGGGCAGGGCCAATATCACATCCATCTCTGTATCCGTGGCCTCGCTCAGAGAAGCCCAATCTGTATTTGCTTAAAAACCAAAATCTTTAGGTCCTGACCAGATGGCTCAGTTGGTTGGAGTGTTGTCCCATACACCAAAAAGATTGTGGGTCAGGGCACATATCTGTGTTGTGGGTTGGGGTGCATAGAGGAGGCAACTGATAGATGTTTCTCTCTTTCTCTCTCTCTCAAATCAATAAAAACATATCCTTAGGTGAGTATTATAAAAAAAAAAAGAAAAGAAAAACTAAATTCTTTAAGACTACATTTAAGACTCTCACAACTAGTGTCAAATCTACATGCCCCGCATCATCTCCTAGTGGTAGGCATAGATGGTGACTTTGGCCGCACTTTTTATTTATTTATTTAAAAAATTTTGGGGGGGATTTCTCTTCCTTTTTTAAAAATATATTTTTATTATTGATTTCAGAGGGGAAGGGAGGAGGAGAAAGAGATAGAAACATCACTGATGAGAAAGAACCATTCATCAGCTGTCTCCTGCACGCCCCACAATGGGGATCAAGCCCACAACCCAGGTATATGCCCTGACTGGGAATCGAACTGTGACCTCCTGGATCATAGGTCGATGCTCAACCACTGAGCCATGCCAGCTCTCTTCTTTTTAATGATGCTGATTGCTTGAGGACAGAGAGAAAGAGGAGCGGCATCATACATGCTGAGTCTAAATTCTCAATGTGTGTTCTTCTGCATCACACTGACAAGAAGACGACCCTGGAAATGTCCAGAGAGAGCGACACGTTGACAAATTTTATGGACCAACATTGACCTTTGCAGTCCCCCTGGTTTTCTTCATTCTATTCTTGTGTCCCTTTGTTTTCTTGAGGTCTTCTTCTTCTCATATAGGCCATGTCTTGCAAGTCCATGTTTGGCTTCATTTTTCTTTGCATAATCCAGGGAATCATAAATCATGCCAAAGTCAGTTGTCTTGCCATCACCAAAATGGGTTCTGAATCCAAACACAAAGATGACATCTGGTGTGGTCTTATACATTTTGGCTAGTTTTTCCCGAATTTCTGTCTTGGGTACTGTTGCCTTCCCTGGGTGAAGGACGTCAATGATGATTTGTTTCTGCTGAAGTAGTCTGTTGGTCATGAACTTCCTGGTTCAGATAGTTACTGTGTTATTTATGATAGAAGTTGATCTTCAAGCAACCAGAGAGGAAAGGAGGACCACTCTCCCCTGGCCAATTATATCAACAGAAGGACCCTGGGCAGTGCTGGTGTGCGGGTGTGGCCAGATCAGGAGGCCTACCACACCAATCTCTTCTTCTTTATAAAGAAGACCTTTTAACATTCCTTGTAATACTCCTTCAGCATTTTCTTTTCTGGGAAGCTCTTTATCTATCATTTGATTCTGAATGGTAGCTTTGCTGGATAGAGTAATCTTGGTTGCTTTTCATCACTTTTTGTGCCAATCCCTTCTGGCCTACAAAATTTCTGTTGAGAAATCAGCTGTCAATCTTATGGGAGCTCCGTTGTAGGTAACTAACTGTTATTTTCTTGCTGTTTTCAAGATTCTCTCTTTGTCTTTAATCTTGGGCATTTTATTGTTATTATTTTTAAAAGACACATTTGCCTGGCCAGTGTGGCTCAGTGGTTGAGGGTCAACCTTAAACCAGGAGATCTCAGTTTGATTCCTGGTCAGGGCACATGCCTGGGTTGTGGGTTTGATCTCCAGGAGGCAGCCAATCAATGATTCTCTCTCATCATTGATGTTTCGATATCTTTCCCTCTCTCTTCCTCTCTGAAATCAATAAAAAAATATTTATTCAGCATCATGATCTAACTATTACCTTTAGCAATCAACAGCATGGGTGCAAAAAAGTCTATATTAAAATCCTTTGTTAGAATGCTTTACAATTTCCACAGAACATAAACTAAAATAACCTGTTATACAATTAGTCACAAATACAGTCCTTGAGTTTTTGTTTATTTTTTAGAACTAATATATACACCGAGTGGCCAGATTATTATGACCACCTGATGTTTGTAGGCAAATTAGCTATAATTTCATACTGAAGTTGCTAGAGGGCCAGACCATTATAAATAGGGAAGTAGGTTGTTTACCACGACAGTAGAAGCGATTTTTTTCTGAAGATATGGGTAAACAACGCGATTTAACAGCCTCTGAACGTGGGATGATTGTTGGCGCTCGGAACCATGGAGCGAGAATCAGCAAAACAGCCGAAGGCCTGTTTGAACACCTTTGCTGTCTGCAGTTACCAAGATAAAACGTCTCAAATTCGCACAGGAACACAAGGATTGTACAGTCAAGCATTGGAAAAAAGTCATGTGGCCCGATGAATCACATTTCCAGTTGCATCGTGCAGATGGCAGAGTGAGAATTTGGCGGAAACAGCACGAAAGCATGCACCCCACCTGCATGAGTACAACCCTTCAAGCTGGTGGGGGCAGTGTTATGGTTTGGGGCATGTTTTCCTGGCATGATTTGGGCCCTTTAATTCGTGTGGAACAACGTCTGAGTGGCACAACATATCTAAAGTATCATTGTTGATGGCATATCCCAATGGAGGTGGCTTCTTCCAACAAGACAATGCGCCATGCCATGGTGCTCATATTGTGCAGGTTGTTTACCACGACAGTTACCCAAGCACAGGAACACAAGGATTGTACAGTCAAGCATTGGAAAAAAGTCATGTGGTCTGATGAATCACGTTTCCAGTTGCATCATGCAGGTGTCAGAGTGAGAATTTGGCGGAAACAGCATGAAAGCATGCACCCCACATGCATGAGTACGACCCTTCAAGCTGGTGGGGGCAGTGTTATGGTTTGGGGCATGTTTTCCTGGCATGATTTGGGCCTTTTAATTCATGTGGAACAATGTCTGAACAGCACAACATACCTAAGTATCGTTGCTGATCAGGTTCATCCTATCATGTTGATGGCGTATCCCAGTGGAGATGGCTTCTTCCAACAAGACAATGCGCCATGCCATGGTGCTCGTATTGTGCAGGAGGGGTTTCAAGAACATGAGGGAGACTTTAACCTTGCTTAGGTGGCCCCCACAATCACCAGATCTCAATCCAATTGAGCATTTGTGGGATGAAGTTAAAAGAGCCATCAGGCAGCTGGTTCCACAACCATCAAATCTCACAGAACTGGACAGTGCTATTCATCAGGCATGGTGTCAGGTTCCTCGCATCACCTTTCAACATTTCGTGGAGTCAATGCCAAGAAGAATCGCCACAGTATTGAAGGCAAAAGGTGGCCCAACAAAGTACTGATGGGGTGGTCATAATAATCTGGCCACTCTGTGTGTGTGTGTGTGTGTGTGTGTATTTTTTTTGTCAATCCTCACCTGAGGATATTTTTCCATTGATTTTCAGAGAAAGTAAAGGGAGGGGGAGAGATGGAGAGACAAACATCAATATGAGAGAGATACACATTTCAATTGGTTGCCTCCTGCACAAGGCCCTGGGATCAAGCCCGCAACCAAGGTATGTGTCCTTGACTTGAATCAAACCCAGGACCCTTTAGTCCTCGGACCGAGGCTCTATGCACTGAGCCAAACTGCCTAGGGAATCCTCAATATTTTTGCTCATTCACATGAGTATTGTTTAAAACATCTTCCTTGTAGCAGCGAGGCCCTGTCACTACTGTGCTTGGCTGAGTTCACAAATCTGTTGTAACCTGTAGCTTTCCTGTTACTGGCTCTCCTCTTCTGCTAAGCTTTGTTTCCTGGCAATAATTAAAACCTTCTGTCCCTGCCATAACTACTGCTGCTGCTGGAACCATCATAGCCATCTTGGTTTCATGGTGTGGCAAAGTATTGGCTTCCACCATCATAGGGGCCTTCTACCTCCAAAGTTTCTTCCTTTCATAGGTTCAAAATTTGAAGATTGATTGTTGTAATTGCCAAAATCAGTGTAGGTTTCACCACCTCCAAAATCATTTCCATCATTACCAAATCCATTAGAGCCGTCCCCACTGCTGCCATATCCACCACCACCACAGCTGCCACCAAAGCCACTGAAGTTTTCTCCACAACCAACATTGTCATTGCCACCAAAACTACCTCCACAACCACCTCCAAAGTTTCCAGAAACACTGTATGGCATACACAGACACAATCTGAAAAGCAAAACTTTGAAGACAGTTAACTACACTGGAGTTCAACATTCACAATTGGACATGGTGGTTCCCATTGAAACACAATTTTTCTAGGATTACCCTCATTTTCAAAGAGACTGCATTAAGTCCAGTTTTAGTTTGGCCTGATTATTTGCACATACACAACAAGAATAGTAATTGATCAAGTTGATCACATAGGCTCTTTCAAATCTGCTTTGATGGAATTTTTGCAAGGAATCTTAATAAACTTTCTCTTATAATTTGGAAAAATAAGTAAAAAAAGGAATGAATTAGACTTAAATAAACTGACATGAAAAAATGTCGTTCATATAGTAAAGAAATCAAGTTGCAAACAATATGGTACTGTGTATATGTGCATTTGTAGATTTACAAAAAAGCAGTTTTAAAGGGCTTTTACCAAGCAATAAAGTTATTATATCTAGAGAATGAATTACTAGGTATAAGAGCATTGTGAGGATAAATTTCACATTTTAAACTCACATTTTCTGTATTATTTGACTTTGGTACAGAATTACTTTGTAATTAATATATAAGTAGATAATAAATTCTGGGACACTTAGCTCTTCTTGGCAATGGCACCATTACTTTTCAAGTGGGAAATAAATCCCCAAAGAGGACCAGCCATTCAATGCTAAGGTAAGAGGCACAGGGCTAGCAGCAAGCTTTTAAGGTTTTAGGTGAGCTCTGAGAGTGGTTAAAGGGGTGGATTTTAAGGAAGAGGGCAGATGTCAGGTTAGGGCAAGACCCACCTTGGCTAAAGAGAGGCAATGAAGCTGGTTTCTTGAGCCTTTCTACCACCCGTGTCAGTGCTCTCTCCCTCTTCTTGACTACCACCCTTCCCTAGTCCCCTCCTCACCCCCAAACCTGGGCCTACTCTATAGTTATGTCATGTGGTCTTTTCTCTCTTGTGCTGCATCTCTCACTTCCTGTTACTCTTATGATTGCCCCTGGGAGAGGCTATGCTGTGTTTGGTAGGGGCAAGGAATCACTTTTAGGGCACCTTGGTTGAGCATATATCATAAGACTAGAGGCCTTCCCTTCTCCTGGCTGCCGGCACCGGTTTTCTTCCGGCACCCGGGACCCAGGCCTTCACTCAGGCCGGAGCCGCCTTCAGTCTTCCGTCTTTGCTGCTCCGGCCGGAACCGCCTTCAGTCTTCCCTCCGCCGCTTGGAGCCTACGTATGGAAATTAACCGCCATCTCTGTTGGCAGTTAATTTGCATATTGTGCTGATTAGCCAAGAGGAGGCGTAGCAAAGGTACGGTCAATTACCATGTTTGTCTATTATTAGATAGGATTGGGCTGGAGAGCTGTTAGGTGATGTTATAGACTGTATGAGGGATTTTGGGATAAGTGGCAAATAAGGCCTGATAAATGATTAGATGTTTAATGCAACCAGAGTAGGGCTAGAGTTAGGGACCATGGCTCCCTATGGCTTACCTGACTTATTAGCATGACATTCAAAGCCTTCTCAATTGGGCCCTAACCCCCTGTTCTACAGGGCTGACTTACCCAGTAGGCATAGCAGGCATGTGCCCAAGGCCCACAATACTTTTATTTATTTATTTATTTTAACATTTATTTATTTATTTATGTATTTATTTAAGTTTTATTGCTTAAAGTATTACAAAGGGTATTACATATGTGTCCCCCCCCCCTCCGCTCTTGACAATCCCCCGTCCTCCCCTACCCCCCAGTGTCTTATGTCCATTGGTTATGCTTATATGCATGCATACAAGTCCTTCGGTTGATCTCTTGCCCCCCTCCCTCCTGGCTCCCAACCCTCCCCGGCCTTCCCGCTGCAGTTTGACAATCTGTTTGAGGCAGCTCTGCCTCTGTATCTATTTTTGTTCATAAGTTTATAATGGTCTTTATTTTCCATGAATGAGTGAGGTCATGTGGTATTTTTCCTTCATTGACTGGCTTATTTCGCTTAGCATAATGCTCTCCACAATACTTTTAGAGGCTCAAAAAAGTGTTTTATTCAATTAATTTATTTAATTTAAAAAAATATATTTTTATTGATTCAGAGAGGAAGAGAGAAACATCAATGATGAGAGAGAATCACTGATTGGCTGCCTCCTGCACGCCCCCTAATGGGGATCAAGCCCACAACCTAGGCATGTGCCCTGACTGGAAATCAAACCATGACCTCCTGGTTCATAAGTCGATGCTCAACCACTGAGCCAGGCTGGCTGGGCTGTTTTTTCTTTTAAAATCATAATAAAATGAATACCATCAGCCTGGGTTATATTCATTTTTATACCAAAGCAGTTATAAAACATAATTTTA